AAAAAAATAAAATTAAAAACTAAAAATCATAATCAAACTAATCAAATTTTTAATTAATTTAATTTATATATTATATGATTTAAATTTATATTCTTTTATTTTTATAAAAAGAATTAACTCTAAATCACACGTAAGTAGGCAGTTTGCTGTGTGTAGTGGTGGTAGTAATCTGAGATCAAAGTCCAACCTCCGACCTCGCACATCCTGCAGGTGCCCGAGGTCGGGTACTTCAGGCGTCCGGACTTCCAACTGGAATCACCTTGGCAGTCAGGAAGAACGAGCTTGAGCTCATCCCCCTTAATCCTTCTCTACAGTGACTCCGTACGTGTAAAGATACTGTAAGGAAACCTTATGGGATCATTGACACATATAATCCTGATTTCTCGTGAAGAACAACACATGGATGCCTCCTTTGGAGGCTATAAATACCCCCCGGGAGTTCTCTCTAAAGGTAATTGGAAAAACCAAACTCAAACTCAGCTCTCGACTTGTATTTGGTAGCTCTGATTATTGCTGATTTAGGCATCGAAGTGTCTACTCCGAGAACCCACCTCGGGGCTTTGCAGGTCTACCGAAGTAAGCAAGTCGGGACCAAAAGTACACCGGTTCTCTTGCAACAACACTGTGTTTTGTTCTCTTGATGTAGGTATATGATGAGTCGTGGTAGCGACTGTTCTTTCCTTTTAGGTTCTCTTTAAAATATCTCGATATTCAAATTTAAAGCCTTCAGTCTAAAAGCTTTTCAAGTTCAAGTCTTGGTACATCTTTTAAAGACCACACTTTGTGCGTGCTTGGTTCAGGAGAAAAAAAAAAAAAACATTTCTCTAGTGTTTGGTTGGGCAGAAATTTTGATGGATTGAAGAATTTTTTTTTCGTATAGCCAGCACCAGAGCATAATAGCATTGCCTTTGAATGAGTGGAATACACACGATGTGTTCCACTCATTTAAATGTCTAGATTTCATAGTTTGGTTCATGTAGAGAGACTACAAAAATAATTTCTAAAATTTATATATATAAAAAGGAAAAAATTAAAAAAAAGGGATATTATAATATTTAAAATATTAAAATTGTTTATGAAATTATTTAATTATTTTTAATAAAATTATTTTTTATGTGTTAATTTATTAAAAATATTTAAAATTTTTTATTATCATTCATAATATTTTAATTGTTAAAACATTCTTTTTTTTTTGGCAAATTTTATATAATAATTATAAGAAAAATTATTTGTACATTTGGTTTAACATATTTTCTTACATTTATTCATTTATTCAGTTTAATTATTAAAATATAATATAAATATAATCTGATTTAATTAATTTTTACATTACATATTTATGATTATATATTTTGAATTTTATATTAAAAATAATTATATTTTAATAAATATATTATATAACATGTTAAATTTAAATATGTACTGATTAATGTTTAAATTAAAAATACTTTTTGAATTTGATCGGATATATATAAAAGGTCAGTCAGGTTGATTAAAATGTCCAAAATATCAATATCAGTCTGGACAAAATGAGCATTTGAGACATTTAGAAGCGAAATGACATTAGTGAGACTATAATGACATTAATAAGACCATGACATACCAGACTAAAAGCACTTGACATGATGGCCCAGTTAGAAGTGCACGTCATCCCCGCTGCCCCTGAGCACAGGGGTTCAGACTATCATCTCCCGATTCTCCTCCAAAAGTTATAGGATAGAAAACTAGAAAAAAAATTTGTACTGAAGAAATATATAAATAATGATATTAATTTTGTTTTTTTTTATTTAAAAAATTAATTTTATTAATTTTTTTAATAAATATATTAATTTTTAATTTATAATTTAAAAATATTACTTTTTAATTTTTTATTTAAAAATATTACTTTTTAATTTTTTTATTTAAAAATTTATTTATAGTGTCAGTATAAATTTTTAATGAATTTTTAAATAATTTTTTTAGAATATATTAATATGGGACGGAATCGATCCCAAACCCAATGAAAATGGAGAGTGCATCTTTTTGTAAAGTGATTAATGCGATTAGATTTGAAAAGTCAAATATTTTTAAATAAAAAATATAAGTTATTTTTATTTAAAAATTAATAAATTAATATTTTTAAATAAAAAAATATATAATTAGTATATTATTTAGACAATTTCTCATTTTGTATTACTAAAAATTAAAATAAATAAATAAATATACTAATGATATGTTGACGTGAATGAAAGAAATTCAATTCTTTTTAATAAAATCTTAAATTCAAGTCTTATAAATACAAAATAGATACTAAGAGAATTTTTTTCATATGAGATCCGATCTGATTCAATTTTAAATTAGTTAAAATCTAATGTGGTTTTTTTAATATTGAGAATTAGTAAAAAATATAAAAAATAAAGATTGGAGGCATTGAGCGGCGGATTCCGCTCTGTGCCTGGGCGGCTCCTACCCATAGTGAAAGAAATATTAATATAGCTTGGATGATGATTAATTGCTGACAATTTTCTAACGTGTAACCTTATCATCTTGGCATATAATAAATTTAGCCCGTAAATTAGTGCATTTTATAAAATTTTCTAATTAATAAAAAAATGGAGTTAGGCTGCAACATTTAATAAGTTTAATGATTTTACTTGGCCAAATATCAAATTTGATCCTCTTTTCCCCCTTTTTTTTAACTAACCGAAGTTAAATATGTTACCCATTTTTCGAATGAAATGAAATGATGAATGAATTATAATCTTAAGCAATTTTCATGTATGGTAAAATTTTCCATCTTTTATTTTTTTAATAAAGATTAAGTAGCATCATGAGTTAGATTTTACATACTAATTTATCTCCTAATATAATGAAAAAAACAAACCATCTACTTCAAAACTGAAAATTCATTAAAAAGTACATCTCATTAACCTTCTCACTTGATTTTTACATCACTAGCTTCCTACTGGAGACAAACATAAAAATTAGGAAATTGTTTTACATTAATGGTTTGTCTAACTTGTGATCTCAGAGTAAATGTTAAAAATACATTAGTTACATTTTTTACATTATATTTGTTTAATTTATACCCTAATGACATAAATTAAAAGTGCAATAAATGTATTTTTTATAATTAATTAATATTAAAAATTATAAAAATTAACATATATTTAGCATCACTCACGTATGAATGATTTTAATTAGTTAATTGATTAAATCAAAGTTAACATTTGTACTTTTAATAAAAAATAATTATGAAAAATCCTTTTACATTCAATTTCTATAGAAAATTACAAAAATTGACTTTATTTTTATCATTAATGGCACATGTATACTTTTAATTAAAAATGATAGATAAATTAAAATTTATAGTACTTTTTAATTTTTTTATTTAAAAATATTAATTTTATTAATTTTTAAATAAAAATGTTAACTTTTTTTTTTTTTTATTTATGTTACTTTTTAATTTTTTTATTTAAAAATATTACTTTTTAATTTTTTTATTTAAAAAATTAATTTTATTAATTTTTTTAA